CTTCGGGGAGTCTGGCACCGCCGCAGCGCCCTGGCCCGGGCGCAGCCTCCAGCAGAGCCGAGCGGAGCCGAGCGCAGCCGGGCAGCGGGCTCGGGCTCGCGCTGCCTTCTCCTCTTTTCTGGTGTAATTTAGTATTCTTGTCTCACCCCACAGGGGTTCCTCGGCCGCCGGCTTAAGGGCTCCATCAAAAGGACAAAGAGCCAACCGAAGCTCGATCGGAACAGCAGCTTCCGGCACGTTTTACCTGGCTTCAGGAGCGTGGACAATGAAAGGTAAGGGGACCCTCCCGGCGCCTGGAGGATGGCGGGGTGAGAGAGAGAGCAAAGATGCTGATTTTCCAGGGTGTGCTAATATCTTGTCTACCTTATTTTATGATATTGCTTGCTTAGCATAGACTTGTTTAATTGTAATGGGGGTGACTTTAATTTGTTGGTGAGCGCACAGTGCAAGCCCTCCCTTTGTAGGCTAAACAACATGTATGGAGAAGCCTGTCTATTCTTCTTTTTCAATCTTTTTTTTTTCCACAATAAATTCCGGGCTGCTGCACCAGTGTATAAATAGCACGAAGATGCAGCAGCCAGCGGCGCCTGATGTGCAGCAGGGAGGGAGGCGGAGGGTGGGCGCACGCTGAGCTGCGCCGAGCACTGCTGGGTTACGCGTTGTAGGAACAATAACCAGAACAATAACAACCATAATCTGCCTAAATCCCTTCCCCACCCCGTTCCCTCCCCGCGCGCCGTCCACAGCCAGTGACTCCTGTCATTGCACCGAGATGGATTCTCGGCACGTGGCCGGAGCTGCTTTTTCCGGCTGAGCCATGACAGGATCTTTCCATGCAGAGGGGACGCGTTGCAGGGAGGGCACAGAGGACGTGTTTGGCTTTGGATGGTCATTATCGGAGCAGATGGCAAGCAAAATGAAGGGGAAATGGACTTTGGTTTAATTCTTCAGCATTCTAAGCTGAAATGAAGTTTGAAATTAAAATAGCGCTTTATTAGAGTTGAATGTACTTACGTATGTGTAGACTTATGTGAACGTGTGTGTTAGAGGGGCATTTCTAGGTAAATTTATGTGGAAATTCACCTGCAGGTCAAGGGCAGAGTAGGGTAAGAGAGATACTGTTGTAACCACAGACGTGAACTAACTGCTTGCTTGCAAAAGGGAGCTCTGTCAGCCGTATGTGACTCTCTTCAGGGAAGGACATGGAAGTGCCAAGAAAAGTATGTCTGAAAAATAGCAGGGATGGACCGCAAAGAGGCTGTGCACGGAGGGAAACATCTAGCAGTGGTAGCTTAAAACATGAGGATGGCACTTTGATCCACTGATTACACACTTCACGTTAAAAGCCAGCGACAACTTTCTATTTAGCTGGATTTCCTGCTTCGTTGCTGGGGGTTGATGTCTGAAGCCCAGGAATGACAACTGCTAGTCTGTGGTTTTTCTTCCCTTTTGCAGCCTCCTAAGCTCGTTTCTGCATTCTGCAAGGGAAAGGTGGTGCTGCTCGGCACAGAGCAGCATTGCAGAGGTTCCTGGATGGGAAGATGGAGCTGATTGGATTCCTGGGCTGCCATTTTTGCAAGCCCTCCAAGTAGGGCACCGTGTTCCGTGCGGAAGAGGAGCAAGCGTAGCTGGATGCCAGGGTCGTCACCTGGGGTGTTGCTCCCTCCCTTCGAACTGCTCTATTGGACAGTGTTTTCCCTCTGTCTAGCTGAGTTCTGCTTGAACTGGCAGTACAGGACATAGAAATGTACTCTTGGCTAGCCCTGCAACCAAAGTCGTTTTTCTAAGTTAAGCCTTGTAATCTCCACGTCCATTCAGGGGCTTGCTGGGCATCAGGGTCCTTTCATTTAGAGCCACGTTTACCACAGCTTCTCTTTTAAGAGATTCAGGGAATGGTGGTGGTACCATCTCAGCTTAGAGCTTAACAAGTAAGCTGCAGAAGAGGTAGCATTTAGCAGCCTTGAATAAAACCCAAGGATTTGCTTAGATGAGCATCTAGAAACTGAAAATGAAAGGCTTTTGTTAGGCGGCAACTGCTCATAAACTTCAAGTATGATGCCCAGCTCTGCCGTGGTGTGAAGGAGCGCGTCTGCGGGGCGGCCCTGAGCCGGGCTCACCGCGCTGCCGGGGGCTGCTCCGCAGCTCTGCCTCGGCGTGCGCCTGCAGCGGCGACGGAAGCGTGGGAGCTGGCTGCCAGGAAAGTCTTGGCCAGCCTTCTTCCTCTGCAAGGAGGATCTGAGGAAGTGCTCCCAGGGAGGCTGGAGAAGCACCTACTGGCTGCAGTCAAGCAGAGCGTGTGCTCATAGAAAAAATGCGATCATTTCTCATGTGGTTGGATCTGATGTTGATTGAGAAGAGACCTTTTGTTTGGAAAAGGTGAATGAAGGGGGTGCAGTAACTTCAATAAACTGCTGTGGGGTTCCCTTGGATGTGCAAGGGCCAATTTGGCCGTCCTTTTGCTTTTTGAGAATTGTCGTAGGAGCCTTTATAGAGTAAGAAAGTACAATTATTGCTTGTGAATACGAGAGGCAGAATCAGACAGAGTATAAGGACTATTCCAAGTGGGATGTGCATTGCCATGGTAAGATCAGCTGGGTGCTGCAGCTAGTGACCGGTGACAGGGACAGCGTCGTGCCCATGGCGTGTCTTTGGCGAAGGGAGGGCGCCGAGGCCGCCGGGCCGCCTCTTCCTCCCTGCCCCGGCGCGTGGAGCGTTTGCCATGAGCCCCTGCTCATCAACGGCCCCCGAGGGGGAGGCGCACTGGGAATAACGGGGCGCTTCCCAGCGGCTCCAGGCGCGTCGGGAGGGCTCGGCTGCTTCTCTGGGTGACCCTGCGTTATGTGCATACGTGAGCGGCCTTGTGTGCGCGTGGAACTCTGCTTTGTGCCTGGGGGTGCCCGAGGTAAAGGCGCGTTTGACATTTTCTAGGAAATATGTAAGCACTTCACTTGCACTACATATTCAAAGTAACTTCCTCATTTAACAGGGAAGTCATGTCTAAGGTACTTGAGTAAAAGGTGATACTAATTCCCGGAAGTTTTTCTAGCCGTTGTAAGATGTCAGGGGAGGGGATAAGAATATGGAATTGCTTTAATAGTCTCCTCCTCCGAGTTTCTCAGCTTCCCACTTCCCTACCAGTCCAAACAAAACAGCGTGGGGCCCCATGGGGAAACCGCTATCGCTTTGACTCGTCTCACAGGCACGTAGCAAAATTATAAAATCCTTCCTGCTTAGGCATACGCAGCACTTTGGGGATAATTGGCTTCATGCATCTTACAATTAGCTTGCAAAAATATGGTTTGCGTTCCTGACCTTTTCTGTGTAAGCAAGGCCATTGTCTGCCTGTCCTGCTTAATTACAAAATATGGGGCTGTGCGAGGGTGCAGATGACACCGTTGTGTCGTTGGCTCTAATTTGACGAGACATGGTAATAGGGAGCTTTCATACTGAGGGCACTGAATTAGTGTAGCATGAAGGCACATTTCTCTAAACCTACTATATAAGGAGAAGTTAATTTAATGCTCTGTCTTTTTGACGTTTGTAATCAAAGCATTGTATCGCAGCTGCAGATGGCCAGCACTCGAAGAATGTCTGCTAAACGCACGTCATGGTGAGGCGTCGCTCCTGCCAGGGAGGATCGGGCTGATTAATAATTAGAAGGATTATTTTATTTTATTGTTCCTGCAGCCCAAACGGGTGTGTTTGGCTCTCCGGCGATTCCGTGGCGGGGTCAGGTGGGACTGGCGTACTGGGGAGCACGTGGGGTTACAAGACGCCAGCTCCGCTCGTACCCTGTGAGCAGGGTGACAGCTGAGTTTCGTTGTGGCTGATGGTGTCATGACAGTCTTCAGAGCAGAGAAATATTGCTACTCCCCTGCATTAACGTCTTGATTCCAAACACCCCATTTATTCTGGCTTTGCCCTGGTGAGACTTTCCTGTGCATGAATTTTGGTGCAATTACATTAGCATTACTCTTCATGTCAGTAGGCTCTAAGAAAAACAGAGTAAAAAAACGACAGCACTGTGGCTTTTATACCAACATGTTTTTGTTTAGCTCTAGACTCTCCCGCCTATTTTCTGTTTAGATTTAGAGAACTAAAACGCTTGTGTTCCTGGCACAGAAGAAAGGCTTTTGCTCATGCTGCAGATGTTGCTCATTAGCAAGAAGGAGCGGCCGGGCTCTCCCTGCCCGGCTCCCGCGGCAGCGGGGCTGGCCAGCCCGTGTTGCCCAGGGCTCCGGGGAAAGTTATCCGCTCAGGAGGAGGTGGTTTCTGTGGGATTGAAGCATTGAGCCAGCCCCGTGGCTGCCCGGTGACCGGAGAGGGCAGCAAAGGGAGGACTTTTCCTTTCAGCAGCAGTGGGCAGTTGCATTTGATCAGATGTGGCCCCAAACTACCTGGAGCTCCTGCCCCGCGCAGCCCCGAGGGGTGTCCGTGCGGCGCCTGCCTCTGCCGGCCGGCTTTGAAGTGGAGATTCCCATCGCACAGGGGAGCTCCGGGGGCTGACGGGTCAACTGCTCTGTCCTGTGTATTGGCAACTGCCGTTAGCAAGAGCTGTTTTCCTTCGCTGCGAATGGGAATGCTGAGGAACGAGTTTGGCTTGGCTCTGTATTGCAGCCCTGCAAACCACCGCCTGGCAGGGGAGAACGCGGGAGCTGGCGAGCCCTGCGTGGGGCGGGTCGGGCACGGCGCTCGGCACCCCGTGCCGGCGGCTGCGCGGGGCTCTGCGTGCGCCCATGGCAGCGCTTGGGAACGGGGGTAGCTGCGTCCTGCTCATCCTGCCGCCGCGGAGCAAAACGGAGCTCCTGCTCTCCTGCCAGGCTGCTCAGTAACGCCCTGCGCTATGGAGCCTCTTTAGAAGTGACCTCAGGAGGGCTTCAGGGGCCTGGGCCTGGGGGTGTCCTGTGGGGTGGCTGTTGTGTCTGTCTCACCTGGCTGACAAAGTTTGCAATTTTGATTTTTTCCTCTTCAGTTCCAGAGCGCCTCGCTGCTATTCTGTTCAGCAAAATTCAGGTCGAGTGTGATGAAAAGAAACAAAAAATGCACTTAGTTGAATTAAACCAGTGCTTTTTAGCTAAAATTAAAATAAAATTTGTTTGAAAAATTACTTAATTGATTTGAATCAAAGCCAGAAATATAAATTGCAGTGAATTTGGCTTTAATCCACGTGGATTATATATGTAATTATGTGAGAAAGGGATGTGGTGCGCACAGTACATGACTGAGTGTGCGGACAGAGGGTGACATTCATTCTCGGTGACGTAAACGTAGT